AACGTTCCCTGCTAGCTGGGATCTTAGTTACTTTTTAACCTCATTCGAATATTAATTGAAATGATTGTTGTCTTAAAATGTACTTTAAACATTAGGTTAAAGCTTTAAACATTACTAGAACCAAGTTAACATTGTTCAAACCTAGCTAACGTTGGGGGAATGTTCCCTGCTGGCTGGGGTCTTACTTCCTTTTTAACCTCATTAGAACATTAATTAAAATGATTGTTGTCTTAAAACCTCAGCTACTCCACCCGCTTCATCAAGTGTGTTGTCCTGCAGGATTGCTGATGTGACTCCTCGTCTGTACTCTGGTTGAATAAATATTGTTGTCCATCCGAGTACAAGGGCTCAGTTTTCACTATAAAAATCCACTATATAACCTGCACGTTGCACTTAGAGTTCTTGACCTTTAAATAAACCTCCTCTTATTCGCCACCACTAGTCTAGAGCTGTAGACATGCAAATAAGTCGGCATCTGCACTGCTTCCCTCGATATATTACTTCAAGTTGTATTAACTGAAACCTTAACAAGAGACATGGCAATTGCAAGGTAGGCCCAAGTAAAAAAAAAATAAATATTAGATTTTCGCAGATGCATAAAGAAACCTGGCTTGCCAGACTATGTTCTATATGTACACATCCAGAAAGTTGACAAATCCAACGACTCTTTCGGTTCTTACAGTTTTTGGTGTTTTTTTAAAGATAACATGGCTTTCAAACCTGCTGCTGGGTTTTGTGTTTTAGAGGGTTTATAATGCAGGAACTTTCTATCAATCTACTGTTGTTGCGATAGGTTTGTATTAATACACATGCAACACAAACTATATGACAGCGTCTAACATGCAGAAAACAGGACAATCACCACTTGAAATGTGTTAAAACTTCCTTTTTTTAAAAAAAAAACAAAACATCCTTTTGATCCTGTGACAAGTTGGACGACACTTTTTCACTGAAGTTCAGACTATACTTTGACTCTGCTGTCGTTCCACAGACTTCCCATTAACTCAGGTCACTGATCACTTATTAGTCTGCAGGACCTTTGCTAATTGTGGCTGATAGGAGGGTGAAGAGACTTCTGTTTACATGTGTGTGTCCTTCAGGATGGAGCCTTGGGGTTGAGGAATGGTGAAACTGACGAGGGAGACGGTGGGCCTCTTCAGAGGGAACAAATTTCACCCTCACAGTGCAACAACGGACCGTCGATCAATAACAACGCAGTGAGTGTAAGGACACATCAGAGCACAAGATGTGTTGCTTTATCAGATTTTAGTCTTATTTTAATGAGGGTTTTGGTTTCTGGATGCTCAAACACTTATTTAGTCAATGTATGAATTGATAAACAGAAAGCTCATCGACATCTGTGCTGGTTTATGTAATTTATTATTCAAAAATATTAGATCTTCTCTGTTTTAGCTCTCAAGTGTGAATATTTGCTACATTTCTCTGTTTTAAATGATTATAAATTTCATGTCTTTGGATTTTGGACAGCTGAGTGTATAGGTTTAGTTTTAGAATAGATTAATATAAATAATAAGAAGAAATATGGCAAGAATTAGCAACAAAATTCACAGAAATGTACAGAATTATTCTCCATAAACATTTTAAATAAATATCTATACCCTTAAATATTACATGTGTGAAAAGGAGGAGGAACAAGTATTCACTTGTGAGAACCTGCTCCTTTCTATAATTAAATGTACCTCACATAATTACTTGTTTGTTGTAGTCTGTTATGATTTAGAAACTAAAGCAATCCAATGAAATAATAGAAGAAGGAAAAATGCCAAAAAAATCTTTAGTGCATTTTATACAATCTAGCAAACAAATGTTGATAAAATTGGTTATTATGGTAATGGAGGTAGAAAACTTTTAATATTATGAATTATAAATAAGTTCACCTTTACTGCAATGCACTTTGTTTCATTCTGTCTCATATACTTTTCTAAATTCTTGCACCTCTTCTGGGGAATGTTAACTCTAAATAATGACAGAAATTATCTGGAAATAGAGGTTTCTTTTTTCTTTCTTTTTTTTAGTTAGTGTCTGTAGTTGTTTTGAGGCTGCGTACAGTTCTAACCAACAGACGTAGGGTCTGAGAAGTGAAACTCAGGGTAATAAAAGCCCTTTTATGAACTTCTGCTTTGAGCAGTTTGAGGAATAACTGAAGGCGTTTCAGGCAACTTTATCAACATTTACTGCTCTCAACTCTCATCTGGACCAACGTGACTGGACGGTAAGAGTCAGAAAAAGGTTTCCTCACTTTAAGGCTTATAATAAATAGTTTTCATTGTCTTTGAAAGTATTTTAGTTGGATGTGTACACATTTGGGATTTATTTCAAGATTCCAGTATATTATATATATATATTCCAGTTATTCACTCTGTGTATGAGTTTTAATGAATATGCTAAATTCTCCAGGTGCTGCTGTTGATCAGGGATTGTTGTTAACAAAGCCATACCCACAGTCTGATGGTAAAAACAACAGGAAGTGTCTCTGAAAATGCTGCTTACATAAACTGCTGTGTTAGAACAATCTTTTTATCACAGCTTCTAAAAATAGGCACCAAATGGTCCAAGTTTGCGGTTTCTGTGGGATTTCCCAGCATTCAGCAGCAGACTAAACAATCAATTTGGTTTTAGTGTTATGTTGGTGAGTGTTATTTTCTGTGAGTGTTTCTGTACGTGTGTGTTAATTTGTGTGTGTGTGTGTGTGTGTGTGTGTGTGTGTGTGTGTGTGTATTAGATGCACGGCAGCTCGTTTTCAGAGAGTCCTATTAAAAGAGAGACACCCTGTCAGAGTCCAGACATCAGCCGCAGAGATGGTCTCAACTTCTGCTCGTCACCCGATACAGACAACACACCTGAAGCTGTAAGAGATGAACACACACAAACACACACAGAGATTTTTATTATCTCGTTTAGTTTTCTAATGTTACTGTGAAGCTATTTCGAAGATTATTTCAAGTTACAATAAAAACTTAAATGGAAGAGTAACGGCATCAATAGTGATTTGTGATTCACACATTTGTGGCTGCCAGTGGTCAATGTTTCATTTTTTCCTTAAAAAAAAGATACTTTATACTCTTAAGGTACAGGACCTCACTGATAGAAAATGGACATTTGTGAACGATCAATTGTAAATTTATAAAATTTTAGTCCTAAAATAATTTCCTGACTCTTCCTGCTTCAACACAAGCATTAAAATGACCTAGGAAACTTTTATTTAACCGTCTGAACTACGAACATTATCTGAGCGTTTTTTGTTCCTGCAGTTCAGTCAAAAAGTTACTGAGTTTTGTGATACTGTTGAAGAAATTTTCCCCATTGTCCTTATGTGAAGTTTGCTGTAGTGGGGTGTTTATTAGTATTCCAGTATACAGTGGGCTTACCAACACAGAGCATGAGTCTGTGATGGTAAACCGACCCAGAACCTTTGCAGTGTTACACCTTTTGTTGGGTAAGTCAGAAGGTAGGGAGGGGCTGTATGCAAATATCGTAGTGAATAGTGGTTGGTTAGCATACAGTTCCTCATCAATGACAGGAGGTAAGAGAACAATGAGCAACAGGTGGTGGAATTGAGAGTCTGTGACAGGAGGTAAGAGAACACATGACAAAAGGTGATGCAATCAAAGGGTCTGGTGACCATCTAAAGAAGAGAGAATTACTTTCTTCATCATCATCAAAATAAAAGAGAATGACTTTCTTCATCAATCCACACTTTTTCTTTTCTTTTTTTTAGTGTAAACTTAATCCAAATTAACTTCGATATCAAACAAGTAGTCAGGGTTTTCTTGTACTGGTGGAACAGGTCGAATTTCTGTGGAGTACATAATATTCGTAGCACCTCTGGCAGTGAGTAATTTCCAAAACACTTAAGACAAATATTAAACAAAATACTCAAACCAAACGATGCACATTCAAGATGATGTAGCCCAGTACTCCGATTTTCTTCTTAATTCAGTCAAACAATCCAGTAGAATTGAGTTTATGTAATGTCTTTGCAATGCAGTTCAAGTGACCCTGTGATTCCTGTATGGTTGCATTTTGATCAGGAATAAAATGCAACAACTATTAATAAGTTGAGCTGAGGGACTGTAGTAAATAAATGATGTGTCACAAGGGCTTGTAGGCAAAACCATCAATGAAAGTCCTTCTTTTGTACTGTGTGGAATGAACAGACATAGTAGTTTAAGGGGTTGGGCTGTTTTCAGCTACCAAATTGGCTAGCTGGATGTATGATGGTTGTGGCTTACTTCACTTGCCATGCACTGCAAAGTCACATTTGTGGTGTCTGTGACTTTTTGTTTTGTTTTGTTTTGCATGTGTGATCCATTTTGAACTTTCGTTATAAGTCAGATTTCTGGAGTTTCTGGAACTCCAGTATTTACATTGCTCCTGTGCTCTGGGTGTCCTGTGTCTGTTTCTCGGCAAGCAGTGCCTGCACTGCTCTTCTGCTGCTCTGTCAGTTGTAGATGTTCTGCGTCTTCTTCTGGGCAACCAGTGCCTGCGCTGCTCCTCTGTTGTTCTGTAGATGTTCAGCATCTTTTTCTGGGCATCCAGTGCCTGGGCTGCTCCTGTGGTGATGATGAGCCCTCCTACTGTTCTGTGGTGAAGGTGGGGGAGCTGTCCTCTTGTAGTCCTCTGCAGTCAAGTGTGACCTCTTCACACTTGATGCTGTGTTGGTGGTGAGAACAATGCTGTGTGGTTTGAACCAGCAGGGGTTCAGGGTGTTTTGCCAGTGGGGCTCTCTGATGTGGTGCAGTTTGTCCCTGGAAAAAGACTGGACAGCTTTTGCCGGAATGGAGATCTCTATGATAACAACATGAGGCTGTAGGGAACAGAGTTCTGTAAATAGTCAGTTTGTATGATTTCTTTTGTCCTTTGGCTTGTCTTATCCATTTAAAAGAAAAAAAATCATGAAATGCAAACTCCTCACAAGAATAAAAGTTAAGTGAAGAAACTATAAAGTCTAACATGTGGGAGCCACAATGCAGCCATCATTGCGAACCCACCAATTATTTGCATATTTATATTGAACGTGTCTAACCTTTGCTCTTCCACATTCATGCTCTCTTGTGATGCCAACATCAGTAGAAGAAAACAAGGCCAGCCAATGCCTGATCTCTAAAGTTTGTCCAGATGGTGACAGTTCTACCTTTTGTTAGGTGGCAGGTTCTCATCAGCGCATGTAACTCAACTACTTGGGTGGAGCTGGAGAGTGGCAGGGTGGCACTTTGAATCATTTAGAAATTAACACAAATTGCATACCCTGTCTGTGGCACTCCATTTTCTATAAACTACATCAGAGTAGAACAAAAATCTGGGTTAGTACTGTCAGAATGGGATTTAGATATACATGCAATGACATCTACAAGAAAATAGTGTCAAAGGGAAACTTGGCATGCTTTCAGTAAAAAGGACCTACAGATACCAAGGCATCAGAAATAGGTAAACACATGAAGATATCTCCAACCCCCATAGCTATTAGCTTTCTTTTATGTTTTTTAAATGAATGAAATGTGTCTTTAAGTTAATGTTGAAGCTCCAGTATATACATTTTGAACGAGACATGTTGGATATGAAAGGTTGATTTAATGTGGCAATTGTGGGCTTATTATTGGTTATTTCCCTCATGCGCCACATGTGATGCCATCTGCAAAGTTCAAAATCAGATGATTATTTATGTTTTTACAATTTGTAGCTCCGACGAATGGTGTAATTTTGGAGATTTGTTAAAAAAGAAAAGACGGCTTTCAAACCTGCTCGTGCGCTAACTCTTCGTGTCACCTTGAATCCATCCCTCAGGACTCCAGCACCCAGTGCATTGTGGGTAACCCTCCCTACCTCCTGAACCCTCAGATCATTGGAGCAGAAGACGACTACTTTGACTCCCAGCAGGAGCAGGTATCTGCAGAAATGTTTCTAAACAAGTGATGGACTGTTTAGACAAGAGGTAGATTCTGTTCCACATGATTATCCTATAAAGAACCAATCTCTCCTCAGATTAATGGACTGTGCAGCTGTTTCCAGAGTATCGACTTACTGAAGTCTCGGCCGGCTCACCTGGCTGTCTTCCTCCATCATGTGGTCTCACAGTTTGACCCTGCACCACTGGTACAAACACAAACACAGAGACACACAAATATCGAGTACAGATCAAGATATAATAATCCTTATAATGCTCCAAATTTGAGCAGAATCCTGTAGTACCAGCATAAGGTCATATGACACAAACTAATTCCATTTCATCTTCATTCTACCAAATCTTTCATGTGACTGTCTTTAAGGACAATGCTGATGATTTTCAGTGTTATTCTTCCTGTCAACAAATCTAATCAAAAGATCCAAAATATATATATTTGTACTTCTTGCACCAGCTCAACACTGTAGATTTTATCCAATATAGCACAAAGGAACGACAAACATCGTGTTTCGGATACAGACAACACTCTTTAAGTTGCGTATAATCATTGTTAATTTTTGGATTTTCTGTGAACTTTACAAAAATTTTAAATATTACCAGCCTTTTCCTTTAAATATAATTCACATGTAGTTACAACATAAAGTAAACTGTGCTAATAGTGTAGTTAGTGGTAAATTTAAATGAAAACAGCACATTTTACAGCTCTAGACATACACATTTGTGTCATCAGTATCAGTGTAGCAACAGATTTATGCAATAAAAAAGAGAAGTTTGAATTTGTGTGCAAAAATTGTATTTTATTGTAAATAAAAGTGGTCCAAGGATCGAGCCTTGTGGAACGCCGGATCTGACAAAAACTGCTTTCTGATTACACAGTGGGTATTGTTTGCTTTGCAGCAGTAAAACACTAAACCAGATGAGGAACTACACAATAATTGTGATTACAAAAAACGTCTTACTGTCCTTTTGTTCCTGTCAGCTGTGTTTTCTCTATGCTGACATGCACAAGCAAACCAGCTCCAAAGAAAGTCGACGCTTCTTCATGGAGTTCCATTCGCTCTTCATGGATAGAACTGCTGTAAGTTTCTGCTTTTTCTTCCCTAGTCAGTGTCTGTTCTCTTTGACCATCTTAATGATTTCTTTGACTGTGTTTATATTTATATAGCTCCCTCCATAATTATTGGCAACCCTGGTTAAGATGTGTTCTTTAGCTTCTAGTGAATTCTGTTTTTTTCTAAATAATATAGGACCACAATGAAAAAAAGAGGAAAATCCAACCTTTAATTCAAGTGCATTTATTCAGTGTGGGAAAAAAAGCCCACATTAAAAAATAATTATTTTACATCAAATCATGTGTGTCACAATTTTTAGCACCCTTGATGTTAGTACTTTGTACAACCCCCTTTTGCCAACAATTCATTTGAGTTGAGTGGAAGGTTACATTTTTCTACAATTTTCAGTGTGAGAGTATACTTCTGCAATAAAAATTGAATTTATTTTAAGGCTTTTAACACATCTTAACCAGGGATGTAGATGTAACTCTCATTCTCCCTCTTGTGGTCTTTTCCAGAATCTTAAAGTCCCAGTACCAGAGGCAGTAGCAGGTGAACTGGGTAAGAAACAGAAAGGCAAGAAAATTTATCTCAGAGATCTCTAAACTGGAATAAAAAATATCATATATTATTGTATGTATGCATGTACTTTTAATTAACTATTTCACTCTGAAATTCTGATGTTCTATATGTAATATATAAGTTGTTGCTTTGGTTCCATTGACATCTGCATGTAAATGTGCATGTGTAGAAATTGAAATTTTGACCTGACAAATGTGCTAAATGAAAATCAGGACGTCTTCAAAAAAAATTTTGAGATCTTTTCTAAATCTCTCATACTAAGTGCCCATATCGCTTTTTTTTTTTGTGCACCAGTGTCTTTTTTTCACTCTAATGTTCGCCTTCATCCGATTGAATGACAGAGAAACAGCCCATTTACAGATGATTCAAAACTCAGCAACAAGATTGCTCACAAACACTCGATGCAGGGAACACTTGAATTACACTGGCTCTCCATAAATTGCAGAATTCAATTTTTAAAAATGTTGTAATTACTTTCTCTACATGGTCTACTCTACATCTCAGAGCTATTAACCCCTCAGTCTGAACCTCGATCCCACAGATCAGAAAATTAATTGATGTTCAGTCCAGGCTTAAAAACAAAGGAGATCCATGCTTGTGCTGTTTCAACCCAATGCAGAGAAAAATGCTCCACCTCAGTTCGTGAATCAATTTAAAAAGCTTTAACTGTACAGATTGGCATTTGTTTCATATTTTATGTCCTTTCTAATGTTTTGTTGTTGCCTTTTTAGTTTTTCGTCATTATTTCTTTTTTTTATAGAGCGCCTTGCAACTCCAGTTTTGAGAGTTGCTACAGAAATAAAGTTTAGGTGAGAGTGTACAGTAACATGGCTACATGAGACTTCTAGAACTAAATTATTTCTGTTAGGAAACATGAGGCCAATCAGGACCTGCAGTGGGGCTGAGAGTGGCCTCTGAGCTGATTGATTTAACGATAGCACAAATAAAGGACACATGATTTGTGTGGATTTGTCATGTCAGAGATTGTTCCTGATTCATTGGTTAAGTCAATGTGGATGCCGGAAACATGCTGTCCAATAAAATGGTGCATCTCTACTTTCAGGACACATTAGGAATCTGTTCAGTAGTTTAAAGTGGTTCATATGTTTTCGTGGCTGCTTTGTTAATTGTAATTCATATATTCTGTAAGTTAGTTCATTTAGGAATTGAATTAGGAGTCGCAATAAAATGTTTTGGGCCTGCAAGGTGGCTTGGTGGTTAGCCGGTTCGTGTCCCGGTGAGGACACCCGGGATCTTTCTGCGTGGAGTTTGCATGTTCTGCCTGTGCAGCATGGGTTCTCTCCAGGTTCTCCGGCTTCCTCCCACACAGTCCAAAAACATGTTGAGGTTAATTGGTGATTCTAAATTGTCTGTAGGTGTGAATGTGAGTGTGCTTGGTTGTCTGTCTCTAAGTGCAGCCCTGCAATAGACTGGTGACCTGTCCAGGGTGTCCCCTGCCTTCACCCTAAGTCAGCTGGGATAGGCTCCAGCCCACCCGTGACCCTAGTAAGGATTAAGCGGTGTATGGACGGATGGATGGATGGATGGATAAGATGTTTTGGGGTTTAATTTGTTTGGTATGTGTCTGTCAGAGAAGCGGAGGCTGGAGTTAATCCCGGAGGAGTTGTGTAAACAATACACTCAGGCACTACAGGATACACTGTTACCAGACCTGCACAGGAACCTGGAAGACTTCAGGTAACTCATCTTCCAAACCCAGTGTTTCTACAATATCTCACTTAAAAATTATCCTTAGACTTAGGCTGACTTTATTAATCTTCAGAGGGAAATTCAGTTGTTACAGCAACATGAATATTCAACAAAGGAGGTAAACAAAAGCAAAAACACAGCACAGAATATTATGGTAGGGTATAAGATGAAAGTAAAATTAAGTAAGATAAAAATAAAATAAAATGTAAAAAATATGATATAGAAAGAAAAGTCAACAACATTTACAGGAATATACGGGAGAGATAACAGAATGTGCTTAGATGTGCAAATGACGTAAGTAGGTGCAGATAACTTTACAGATGTAATGAATGACTTTAGAATGTAGAGTGTCCGGTATGTAGAGGGGTTTCATCAGCAGGTAAAGTGATAAGTCCTTATGTGATCTGCCAGAAACATGTTACAGGTCAGTTTGAAGGCAGTATTTCCACACATCACAAAGAGCAATTTGTGTGCTTGTATCTGCAGACAGAAGCGCAGCATGGGTCTGACGCTGGCCGAGGACGAGCTGTCCAAGCTGGACTCGGACCGAGGCAAAGACCAACAGGCCTCGGAAAAGGAATGTTCCTGTGCCGAACACATCCTCACCAAGATAGAGGACATCCTGTGAGTCTCAGAGCACATATATCACCGCGAAGACTCAAGTGTGTGTGTTTCCACTCCTGTATTCCTCTAATGGTTGTGTGTGTTGTGTTGCAGGATGACATCGCAGCCCTCAGAGGAGGAGAAGTGGTAAAAAGAGCGTTTTCTGAAATGTTTTAGTTTCTTTTCTTTTCTTTTAACTGAGATTTATGATTCATTTTGGATTAAAGTGTCAGTGCCTGAATTCAATTCAATTCAATTCAATTTTATTTGTATAGCGCATATTTACAACAACACAGTTAGTCATATGTAATGGTGATATACAACTATATAAACATATCCATACACACACATATATATATAAAGAGGAGAGGAGAGGAGAGAAGCCCAGTGCATCATGGGAATCCCCCGGCAGTCTAAACCTATAGCAGTATCACTAAGGGACAGCTCAGATGACTCCGAGCAGCCCTAACTATGAGCTTTATCAAACAGGAACGTTTTTAACCTATTCTTAAAGGTAGAGAGGGTGTCCGCCTCCCGAACCCAAACTGGGAGCTGATTCCACAAGATAACTGACGGCTCTGCCTCCCATTCTGCTTCTAGAAACTCTGGGACCCACTAGTAGACCTGCAGTCTGAGAGCAAAGGGCTCTGTTAGGATAATATGGAACAATAAGGTCTTTAAGATACGATGGAGCCTGATCATTAAGACTTTTATATTTTAGAAGCAGGATTTTAAATTGGATCCTTGATTTTACAGGAAGCCAATGGAGAGAAGCTAATACTGGAGAAATATGATCTCTTTTATTGGTTCCTGTCAAAACTCTGGCTGCAGCATTCTGTATAAGCTGAAGGTTTTTAAGAGAATTATTAGGACATCCTGGTAATAAAGAATTACGATAGTCCAGCCTAGAGGTTATAAATGCATGGACTAGTTTCTCAGCGTCACTCTGAGACAGGATACTCCTGATTTTTGCAATATTACGGAGATGAAAGAAAGCTGTCCTACATGTTTGTTTTATATGGAAGTTAAAGGACATATCCTGGTCAAAAGTAACCCCGAGGTTCTTTACTGTGGAACTAGA